CTTGTTGTAAAATGCACTCCATTTAGGATGAGGTGGCGCGGCGTATGCAAACTTCCCCGTGGGAGCATACAAAATCAGGCCGCGCGCCTTCATTTTCACAAAAGCAACACAGACAGCTTCAAAGTACGAATAGTTGTATCAACGTGTTACGATCTCCGCTGGGCTGCGTCCATTGGCTGAGATATTTTCTGACATCTATTTTGCTAAACACCGTTCTTTCGAAAAAGATCGCCACGGTTCCAATTCAAAGTGAGAAGTACGATGTGGACGGTTCATTAATGCATCGGACAACACGATGATCTTCCAAAATCCAAAGGGTGTTGCTCCAAAAAAAAAAAAAAAAAAAATGCACTTACTCACTAACTCATTAGAATAGATAAAATCAGTTGGCGCAATTGTATCTCACTCAACTCGAATATTGCGAGTCGAGAAATTTCGATTGGATTTATGAAGTTATACAGTTTCCAACCGCAGATTGAACTGAGCTTACAGAACCCCCACCTGTATCTGAATTTCGGTCGGCATAGTATTATTCTACGCGAAGAGGTGAAAGGGAGGGGGGGGGAGAAGGAGCCGGGCTTTTCTCGGTTCTCGGCGAAAAGGAACGGCATGGGTGTTATAAACTCTGCATTTCATCATCTTCAATCCCTCGAGTTGGTTCTCCCTTGTTGTCAACATTTCTGCACCTTCTTCGGCGAGGCCACTTTCCATTTGGTCTCATCAGCTCTCTACGCTGCCGTGCTAAGGAAAATCGCCGTATGAGCCTTCAGGCGTTGCCATATTTTCTTTGATAACCAACAAATTTACTGGGAAAATTCTGAATGTTTTTCTTCCAAAAAATCGACCAAGTTAAATAATTCCTGAAATCGGTCCCTTGGTCTTCTCTTGCATGTACCTCAGTAGAATTATCTCAGATTGCTCAATATTTCAACTTTGCTCTGAAAAAAGTATACGTTTGAAGCAGGATTGTTTTTAGTAGTATGATGACGAATTGACATGATTCATTAAGAACTATCCTTTAAGAGAGTCAAACACGATAAAAAATATGAAAAAGGATAAAACTGGGAAGATGGCTCTGATTTTGCTCTCTTTGCGTGCGGATATGGTCTTTAAATTCTGAATGATCTGAAGATCTTGGAATGATCTGACAATTTATCACAAAATTGAGATGATAACGGGACGAGAGGTTCACTGAGCCTCTATTTTAATAAGTTTCTGACAGTTTGCTCAAGATCCTTTTATTGAAAAAAGTCACTGAGATGTAGACAGTGATTCACGGGACATATTCATAATTAGTTTTTAAAATTATTTTGAAGTACATGAAAAAGTCGATAGATAGCATGTACTTACAATATGCTTGAATATGGTATATTTTTATCAATTTTATTAGAAACGATTTATCCAGAGAGGGGGGAGGGACTCGGCCCGCGAAGAATCAAGTATTATTATCAGGGAACCGAAATATTCATGAGGCTCATACATTTTTAAACATTGATTGCAAGGAAATAGCTGTACAATTCGCAAAGGAAAGAGTGAAAGTGAAGAGAGGTCGACTAATACGTAATATTATTGTTCGATCTGACTGCGTAGCTTGCCTACCTTTTCGTCCCTATACGCAAAGCGCCGCTTTCTTCCTCGTTCACATCAAAAATAAAAAAACCCTCTGTGTTTTGTTCTTTTTCTATGTTTTTCTTTTGACACAAGATTACACACAGCCATTCCCCTCTCTGATTTTCTGAAATCTCAATTTTACGTGCTCCACAAACTTGGATTTTTTTCCGCTCTAGTTGGGAACGCTTTTCCATGCAGAATTAGAGATTCGTGCTATTTGATGATCAAAAGTATTAACGTGCTCACCCACGAGGGACCGTGGCCGGGCAGTTCAAGTATAAAGTGCGGCATTTTTGTCGATTTTTTAAAACCCTCTTTTATTATCCTTTAGCAGCAGTGGCAAAGCCTGCTCTCTTCTCCGAGCCCCTGGATAACTTTAAAAATACTTGATTGCCTCCTGAACGTGAAATTCGTACTTGACAATTCTTTAAAATTCTATTATTGAGTGGTGAGCGTTCCCTTTCTCCATTCCTTTCATTATCCGCAGATACATTGACCTATTCAAATACAATCATTATGCTCCCCCACGGAGCAAAACTTTGTTGCTTAAGTAGGTTCCGAGTAGCTTGAACCGTGGATAAAATTGTGTATACGCATGCACTTTGATTGCCTAATTTTTAGGTTGAAGGAGGTTTATGGATAAGAACCGTTTTTGGGCTCACCCTCAACTTCCTCAACCCGATTATTTTTTGTTCATTGAGGGTCTATATTTTACGAAATACACTTATGATTTGGTCATTTTCGGTCTCTTTCTGTGTCTATTAGATGCCTTAAGATGGGTCTGGGGGCTGATTGTTGAGATTGATAGACAAAGCGATAAACAAAGAGGACAAAGGGAAAATGGGGCGATCTTATTGGTGGAAGCGGATGGTTGCAGTAGACAATGAAGGCAAGTAGTAGATAACCCGCGAGAGACCCTATAGTTTGTTCATCAGTCTCCCATTTAGTTTGTAACATCCACCCGTTTCAACCATACATGTCTTCTTTGTTTATCGTTTTGTCTATAAATTTCAATAATCAGCCTGTTGAAAACCGATTTCGGAAAGGAATGCAGATTTCTCAACATTCAGCGCTGTGTCATAACGACCACGCGCCGTATATAAAAAAACACATTTCTCAGATTCACGTTTAGGCCAGTAAAAGACCCATGAAAAGACCGAAAATGACAAAATATGGTTGTTTTCCTGAAAATATACACCTTGAAGCAAAAAATCGTGGGGTTAAGGACATTCCGAAAGGGCCCAAAAACGCGCTGCCCTTATTGATAAGCCTTACTCGACGATTTGCGAGCGGCCGCGACCAACGAGAAGTAAACCTGGAGCGTGGCGCTCTCCGCATTTCGAACAAAAGAACTTATGGCGCGACGGTGCATGGATTCAAGAATTATCATCGACGGAAATTTCTGACGTTTGTTCTCGTTCCACTCCCAATCGCCGTTCTTGGTGTCACCAGTGCGGGGGCTAATGACTCAATGGCAAGAGGTCCCGAAGGGCGGGAAACGACACTCGTCGGGAGGGTGGGCAGGATGTCGCGGCGATGGGGCGGGGGGCGGGGTATTCATTAAAACAAGTGCTAATGTCTCCGGGCAAGTTGTAACAGGTTTGCGAGGGAGGTTTATGACGTGAAATTCGGGATTCGTTCATAAGCAAATTAGGATTGAACACACACTGGAAGCGGCGCGCGGCGCGGAGCGACCGTCGTCGGCGGCGCTAAGTTTTCGGATAATTACCGGCGCTAGCTGGTAAGTGTAGTATTAAGTCGGGCCCATGATTTACGTCCGACGCTGGCCTCGTAAATTCAGTTATAGCGTGTTGAATTGTGAGAACTCCGGGGCTTCCTCTTTGCATGTTTGAATACGGAAAAAAGGGCCCCGGGGCACGCTGAACCCGGGTCCGAGAAGAAACGCCGTATGCATCTTCCAACGTTGCCAAATTTCCTTCAAATATATACAAATTTAATGGAAAAGTCGCGTATATTTTCCGTCCAGTTTTTCGGACAATTTGGTTCGTAATTCAATCTAAAATACCTGAAAATTTCAGGGAAAATTATGCATGGCCTTCCTCAAATGTACATGTTTTATCAAGGGGGATTTGGCAATGTTGGAATGTTGATAAGGCGTTTTTTCTCGGGATGGCGACCGGGTTTTGGCGGAAGCTCCCAACTTGGGGCTGATGTGTGGCCAGTGCCCTCCTCTCGGCTCCAACAATGACAACGTTTCGCTTCCTTCCTTCCCCTCCGCCCTGTCTTCCGCTTCCCTTTCCATCCCTCGCCTTGGCCCCTCCACCCTTCCCGTCAACCGCCGCTCCCTCGCCACCCCCGCTCAAACTTTACCAACGTCTTACTTATTTATTTATTTTTTCTTCTTCTTTTTTTATAACGCGTCGAGGAGTGAGACTAACAGCTCTCGATCATTGTTAAAACCCGCGGACCTTTGCTCCGAGTCCAACTTTTGTGGCTGACTCGTGCGTCATTTGGACGTATTTCTGCCTAACGGAACTATGTGCATTGTGACGTGAGCCCTGAAATGCATATACTCTCGTGGGTCTCAGGGCTCATGTTTTAATGCACATAGTTCCGTTTGGCAGAAATACGTCCATTTGAGGGTTCGCGTCTTCCGTGTAGTCATTTTAGCCACAGTTTGAATGGCAGTCCACGCGGAAGAGAAGGAACTCGAGATGAGAAAAAAATGCGCGTAAATTCGGTCGTGTTCAGCATTCATTCATAGTGACAAATTTTGAGCGGTTTATGGATTCTCGTTGCCTTTAAATTGAACTCTTGCGTGTGTCAAGGATTTGCGAGTTTACTATTATCTCTTCTGTAAAATTTCGGGAGAAACATGATGATGCCATTGGTTTTCTTTGAAACGAACTCTGGTTCAAAAAATAACTCTCAAAGTTGAAATCGAAATGAAGGGGATCTACCACGCTGCGTCAAGAGTTCACCTCTACGGCTAGTCAAATTCTTCATGCACAGAAAGAGAGCGAATGCACAGCAGGGTTGCCGTGCTTCTAGCTATTGAGTCTCTAAAAAAAGTGGCAACCCTGCTGATGTACTTGCTCCCTAACTAATTGCGAGCATGGAGAGTTTAACCAAATAAAGAGGTAGACTCATAACGTAATGTGAGGAATCCCCTCCACTATGGCCTCAACTTTGAGAGCTTTCTTTGAGCTTTCGAGTTCGTTTCAGAGAAAACCAGTGGTACCATCATGTTCTTCTCGGAATTTATCAAAAGAAAAAGAACTTAAGTCGCTAATTCCTGACACATTCAAAAACTCTATTTTAGGCCTTCATGAATTGATTGTGCGTGGCGTTGTATACAAGAATTAAAAATCAGTTGAAAAAGAATGAGATTATGAAAAGAGATACTTAGAGCTTTTTAACTTATTTACCTGTTGTTTGGTGACGTAAATAGGTTTGTTTAAAACAAGCCAGGTGACGGTTTCAAAGCACGCTGGTATCGTAATGGAGCCATCATACGTTATGTAGTAATTTGTTTTTGGTAAAAGACCTGCTATTGATACTTGTTTTACATCTACTTCATCACCTGTAATGGAAAGAGGACATTCTTACAGGAGTTCTAGGATACCGGAAATTACTTTAAATACCACAGATTTAATTCTGCATTAAAAAGGGAATGTGAAAATGGAAGCAGGATAGATTCCCAGAACGGTTAAGTGAGTCACCTTATTACTTAAGTTTGTAGCTGTTTGTGCCGATGCACTAGGGCCAAAGCCTCATCTCCGGGCGAAAAGTTAGTAATAATAATATATTACCTAAGTTTGTGATTAATTCTTTGACATACAAATACAATATTATCACATCATGACTTAGGTCCTGTATATAGATTATAGAGCGATCAAAAACCATGGCGCGAAGAAATCGAAGAATTCAAAGAATCGGGTTGATAATCATTGCGGTCTTAATTTTCCTTCTAATGGGCGCATGCATACATGTTTTCAATGAGGGTTTTGAGGTTTGTAAAGGGTTTTGTTTAAATGTTTGAAGAGCTTAGTTTTAAGTGGGTCATACGGAGTTAAAAGAAATTAGTAAATACTATATGTATATTTAAGAGTTCTTAAATATCGAAACGGAATGATTTCGATAAAGATACAGCTGGAAAACTATAACCACGTGTCGCTCGGGAAAATAAAAATTTACAAGCAGTGAGCGGTTATAATTTCAAGCCGATTCTTCTCTTTTAGTAAATTTTGCAAAGTCTAATTACATGCTTACCTCTAAATGTGATGTTTCCTATTTGTTCAGTCAGCCTTCTTAATTCAGGATGAGAAGAATCTCCTAGCTGAAAGAATTAAATTTAAATATAATCAACATAGAAAGAATGAAACTGTTTTTAACGAAATATACTTTCCTGCTCTAATGTTTTTCTTTGGGATAAAAGTTGGCAACCTCGTTAAAAGTGAGCGCAAGCCACCAGGATCAAACCTGGATCCTGGATCGCATTGGTAATATGTAGTCAAATGGGCTATCACTAATGCGAATTAATCAAGAGACGCAACATACATTATGAAAGCCATCGATAGAAAAAAGGGCACGTCAGTTCAGCAGGAAACTCTCTTCATCCCCAGTTATCTCAGAGTAACCAGTGATTTTAGTCGGTTAAACCAGATATTTGGGACTTGCTTGGTCGGACCAAAAAAAGTAACTCAACGTAACCAAAAATAACCATAAGCACGGACGTTTGGATTGCATTTTGCGAAAAGGAACCAACACTGAAAATAACGTTTCCTANTGAGAAAATTGAGAGGAGTTACTGATGGAGTCGTAGGGGCCTTTTAAATTCATGTCTCCCCAGAGAACCTTGAAAGATTTCTGAAACTGTTGAAGCCTAGAGTTGGATAAGATTCCGTAGCAGGCAGGTGGGCAAGGAGATATTTGCAGTGTTGCCTGATTAACATTTCCTCCATTTTCTTTTGTTCCAAAATTGAATCGACTTCTGTCACTGAAAATATCGTTTCCTAAATTCAAGGCGACGCCGTGTTGACCTAAGAAAATTGGATACTTGAAAAAAGTGGACAAGAGACGAAGTCTTGGATGAAGAAAACGGTATTGGCTTGGTCGAAGAAAACGCGATTTCTTGAACCAAAACTCCTGTTACATTGAAGCACGAAAACGTTTCCTTCAAATTAGGAAACACCGCCGCGCGAAGAGTTTCCTAAAAGTAAGTTAAGTGTTGTGTTGTTTTCAGGAAACGTTTCCTCAAAAAAAAAAAAAAAAAAAAAAAGGAAACTGTACCTGCAAGCGTTTCCTTAAAATTAGGAAACGGCCGGTCCCGCCGCGTCGCCGCCTTGAGAATCGGCTCCCCGCCTAGTGTCCCTATCCATGCCCGTTGAAGCGCATAGGTACCCCTATTGTTGGTACTGCCGGGGGTGACTTCCTTCACGTAGTTGACGCGCTTCGCGCTCCCTCTGGTATCCTGATGAAGAACTCCGTTTCGCCCTGGCTGAGATTTGATCCTGTAACCTTCGACATTGTCCCGGGAAGAGTGAAATACCGACACCGTAGTCCACTCGGCCATCCTACCCTCGCGAGCGATGAGGAGTTATTTTCCTATGTTAAACCTATTCGCATCTATCTCTTTGGCTACGCAGATGCCCACCTGCTACCGTTCAATAGCACTTGGGTTTATCTAGCAAATACTACCTAAATTATCATTTAAATATATTAAATATCCACATATTTCCCTTTTCTTTCTGTTTATCAGCTGGTTCTCAGATACTATTTACTTAAAGACCGTGGGCTATCGCAGCCATAACTTAACCAACGTATTCCCTTTTCTTTTTCATTCGGAGATAGTATGATCATGGAGTAAATTATTTTTTTATTTAAGTCTGGTTAAAGGACAGATTTTCATACGTGCCTCTCAAAGGTAAATTATCACTCATTCGATTATCCAATCTGACGCCCATATCATTAAGGTTAATGGGTAAATCAAAGAGGCTCATGTGAGAACCGCTTCTGCTCATACTGAAAGTAAATATGATTTAAAATTCCAATAAAGTATAGACAAAATAATCTAAGATTATTTAATGCTGGCTATAAAATTGGCACATAAAAGATAAATGATCTTTATGGAGTTTTCAAAATGTACTCGGAATAGCGGTAAAGATGTGGTGATAAAGGCATGTATAGGTAATACTTTAATGAGTACATATCGGGCCGAGTCAAGCTTTCTGGGATTTGAAGACACTTATATGTAAAAATGTTCGAAGCTACGCGACCAGATTCAAAGAGTGTACTTGCAGTAAGATGTTGAAAAGCTTCACATTATTTATTTTTACCTACATTAACGGACGCACGCTTTTGTTTAGAAAATTTAAAGAAATTTTCGTCGAATCAGAAAATTCAACGAAAAATATTAAAGGAACTTTGGCTCTGATCCGTGCATTTCTATAAAGCATTCTGACATTTTGGACTGAAAACAATATTTTTGATAAGCACAAAAATTGCGTTTTTTCAAAACCTCCACCTTTCCGACGCGTAAATCCCTTACGAACAAGAGATAAATTGATTAAATTTAAACATACTGAATTTGTTTGGAGTGGAGTGGATCTTACGAATAACGCCATCCAAGCGCTTCGGTCGGATTTCTGTAAAGGACCGTTCAAATAATATGCAACGCTCTAACGGAGAGAAATGGTCAAGGAGAGAGTTACGCCGTTTTGTTTTTACGTGTGAAAGAATAGGGACCTACGTCGCAAAAGTGTTACGAGGGAAGAAGTGAGTGGGGTTCCAAAAATTGGAAATTTAGCGTTACGTTTTTTATGAGCGTGATGTCTCTCATGGGCGTAAGGGTGCATCGAAATTTTCACGTAGGTAAGCCGTAGAGAGCATGGTGGTATACGGACGGAAGGGCTCATCATCTCAAAGTGTAGATTCGCCCTTCTGCCAAAGGAGCGACGGTATATTTATTATTATTATTTATATTTATTATACAGGGTGTCTCAGGAAAAAGGAGCCACCTTGAATATCTGCCGAACGCGTCGGAATTTCGAAAAACGGTAAAAGACGTGTTCGTTTATATCGAGGGGGACACCTTTTGGCGTATTTGACATTTTCCCAAACCGCGGGAGGGGCGCGGGGCGGGGGGTGCCCCACCCGTAAGTCGAACTTTTCAAATGGCACCCCTACTTTTTTATTTCAGAAATCAATTCTACGCAAAAAAACAAGCCACCCTGTCCAAACCGAATGTAAATCGGAC